CTTGAAAACGGGTAGCGTGGTCCGATATACCGGTTAATTCAGGATCCTTAGGTGCCGAGTCTGGTAGTTGGGAAGGCCTGTTAACTCTGCTTTGTTTTAAATACAAAAAATACATTATTATTGGTATAAGATATAAGAAATGTATAATGTGAGATCTGAATATAAATTTTCGTTAATAAATTTTGAAGTTGAAAATAAGATGTCTGGATATGGAGAATAAATTTGTCCAAAGTGCATAGGCAATAACTTTCTGTCACAATTCACTACTAATTCAATGAAATTTTTTAATATTTAATTAGTGGATTCCACACTGGCACCTGTCTGGGACTGGTAAAAATTCAGTTTGGACAGGTCTTGTTGGAGGGTGGGCTGTCAGACAGACAAGTCATGTGTTATTGGAATTTAAGAACAAAATCAGTTGCAATCTGTTTGGTGACGGTCGCCCCATAACCATCAATAGACTGTATTTTTGTTTGACTATGAAGTTACTGAATGGCTTTTATTTGTTTGGGAAAGAGGCAGGATGCTTTAGAAATTGGCACAATCGGTTTACAATCATGGTTAATATTATTATTATTATTATTATTATTATTATTATTATTTATATATTGACAAAGCTGTCAAATGTACATCCATGGCTCAACTGGCACATTCCGCAGTGACCAGCAAAGTACTGCATCAGAATTTTCACTGAAGACAGACACAGGTGGAAGAGTGGGTAGGTATCACAGCAGGATGGCGGATTAAAAGCATGCAGGGCTCACCTACACACAATGGTCAATAGAAGTGTCACCCCTACTGAACCAATACTATGGGGGAGATAAATGACTGTGGAATGGTATGCTCCTGGTATCATTTTATAACATCAATTTTCACAAAAAAAAAAAAAAAAAAATACATGGTACAGCGGTTTTATACTCATAAGTCACATTTTAAGCAGACCAGGTATTATAACTACTCAAGAAATGCCTCCTATGATTACTCAGATTCAGGGGGGTGACTCTTCTATCGTCCATTGTGTGTACATGTAGGCGCACTAGAGTAAATTGAATCATCCTCTATAGATTACCCGCGTTCATTTTATTGGATGTTTATCAGTGAAATAATTGAATTAATTGGTGTCTATTATTGTCGACTTAATCACCTATTCGCGAACCAGGAAGCAGATATTTTCACGCAATGCAGAGAATTTTTCCATCTCATTTATAGGAATTGTACATGAAATCACGAATATCAAATTAAACAGAATTATTTAAAGGAACCAAAAAACCATTGATTTCACATGAGAAGTATTGTAGAAAGCGAGCACAAAAATGCATAAACCATTTCTATTATTGTATTCTGTTATAATTGTAGTGGCTAAATGCCATGGCAAAAAATATCAATCCGAGCTAAGTGAGGAACCATTGACAGCTTAGAAAGAGTCAGCTGTTTTACTTTGATTTGTCCCTGTTAATAACGATCAATAATGCAACAAGTATTATGCGACGTATTTCTAGAGGCTTTTATTTCGTTTGTGAAAAATATATATCCAAAATTCTCTTAATAGAAAGGCTTTTTCATGAAATCAGTTATGTGCCATCCAGCTGTATGTGGAGAAATTACATGCACAACTTGTAAATACGTCCTTGCTTTTCTTATAAGAACCATATACTGTACGCTATTATATAGATATACATGTAGAATAACATAAGTACATAAATACAATGTCGCCAATATAAAAGAAGGCGCTGCATGGGTCCGCCAACGATTAAGGAAATGATCATGACTGGCCAAAAATTTATATATTTGGTAACGCAGAAGCAGCGAGCTGCGACGTTGTCTGTAAACGTTCACTATGATGAAAAAGCTTACGTTGTCTTTTCTTTTCGTCTTAACTAGAGTAGCAGTCAAAGTTACCTTAGTACCGTAACAGTCTACTTGACAGAAGTAGCAGTCATGTAAATTAACACGGCGAAGAACGGTGTAATAAACGTTGCCCTTACATCCATGAAGCTATAGAAGTAGTCGACGCCGTTATCGGACTTGCGGGCTCATTTCGGCTACCTAAGCACTGAGCATCATTCTCAGCACGCCTAGTTGAGGTTTCAGCGTTCCAACGACGACAACAAATACACTCCTTGAAAAGGTTCACCAACTCGTCCCGAAAGATATGACCAGACGCAACATAAAGAAAAAAGTTAGTATTGTGATTCAGCAAACTTATCAGGAACAATGTCGACCCTACGAACATGTACATGTTTTGGTAGGTGCGTTCTGTGGAAATGCCACCTCCAATATCAAGCATGTTTTCGGCTCGCATGAAGACGTTAAAGATAATAAAGGGCAAGGTGAGCAAGATAAACGCTGTCAGTGTCGTTAACAGTAGAATATTTACTTTGGTGTCCGTCGTCCCACTGCCATCACCGTGCTGCTGATGACCAGCCAGTTGTCGTCTTACGGAATGGCTCTTCCTTAGATTACACACAATGGCGACCGTCATCGTTATAATGGCTAATGTGATTACGAACCACGCAACGTAATAAATATAGGGCAAAAAGACGGCCCTATGCTCCATTGTATTGAAATGTGCAGAACAAAATGCTGTTTTTGAAGCAGAAACAAGAACTAAAGTAAAAACTGCAAGTCCAGAACAGGTCTGCAGAGCTCTCCGTCTCGTGCACAGGGAAGAGGCTTGCAGTGGTTTGAAGATTATTATAAGTCTCTCTACGGTTAACGCAAATACGTAGAGCATGGAGAGCAAAAAAGACGCGTTGTGCAAAACGGCTACAACAAGCTTGGCTTCACAAGGCGGTTCAGCTCCTAGACTCCAGAAAACGCACTGAGAGGACAAGCAAGACAGCTTTAACTGATCCGCGCCGGCAAGGAACAGGATATAAACGAAGGTGGATTTCTGCCTAAGACTCGGACGTCGGAGAACCACCAGGAAGGTGAGGAAGTTACCAACCAGGCCGATGGCTGTCAGGGCGTGCACAGTGTTACACCAACATGTCCCATAGTATGACCAGCACCGTTGCGCGGAGGATAGCATAGTATCGTTTAAGTCGTCCAAATCGTACCTGCTCATATTTCCTTGGGAGGCGTTGCTGTTATTAAAAAGTCCAACATCTTTCCGAGAGTCAACCTCCTGCATTGTACAGTATATCAATAGTCCTCAATCTAGGTGTTATGTATCTTAAATTGCTTGTAATTTAATTCTCTTTCCCCTGACAGTCATTTATAGTCTTAATAGCTGTTCCTAAAAACATGACGAATTAAACTGTGCACTCTATTTTATCATTCCTCAGTGTAGGTGTAATGCATCTTGTATTGAATGAAATAGATAGTTCTCATTGGTCGAGAACAGTGGTTCGAGAAATGCTGAAAATGTAAAGACACCTTCCGCCAATTAGCCTCATTTCACGTACTGCCTCATTTACTTACTTCATACCATCATATCCACTCAGTGAGAGACTGTGTTACTAATATGACGACACATGATGTTTTAACTTAAAAGTCTGACGTGATTGCTAAATATCCTCTACCAGGGCCACAGATTGATTTTTTTCACTAGATATTCACTAATGTGTCTCTGACTGATTCATGGCAAATTTTTTTCACTGTCGCGTTGGAGAAAAGTGCACATAATTAATCTACAGCCCTGGTAGAGGGAAATTTCTATACTGGATATAGTGACGCCGCGAAGGAACAAACGCGCTTAATGATCACTTCTGTAGCTGCGACCACTTTTTGAAATACAAATTTTCAATATCATACAAATGCCTATCAAATTCTGGCTGCAATTGAATGTCAATTCAGTTTTTCGTTTTACTTTTGAAAAGCTGAGTGATCGAAGGAACGTTGAGTAAAAGAAGTTCATGGTCCGATGAAAACGCTGTCGATATCGGGGCGACTGGGCCGTTTTTGTTTTGAGAACTATGACATTGCTTCTAAAATTGTATAGGAAATTTCTGGATTATTTTTCCATTGAAATGCACTTTCATGTATTCAATCAAAATATATTAGAGGCATCCACATTTCCACCAAGTTAATGGAATTAGGATTTTTAAAAGTTACACATTACTAATTTAAACTTTAAACTTTCTCCGTTGATCACCTTTTTCAATGAACAAAAAGTATAAAACGAATTTCATGAAGGTGCAAATGCGGCCCAATTCCAATGCCACAAGCACTCCAAAGTACAAATGCAACAATTTCTATGTCAAAATTCAATAAAGATATTTTTTCAATGTTTGAAAGTTTAAGGCATGGAATACACTCGTTAAGATTTTATTATTACAAGGAATACATACAAAGTTAGAATGGTTTGTTTTTCACACAGAGAGAAGTCTTATTGCACAAAACTGACAGAAACAACTATTGCGATGTTGGTAAGGATTATTAAATTAAAAAAAAAACTACTTGATTTCCGATGCACATAATTTACACAGAGCGACAAATAGCGTAACGACTGTTCTACCTGAATTGATATGAACAAATACATGAAACCCCTCCGATTGTTCGGCTGATGGAATGCAGCACAATCTTTGTAACACCCAGAGCACAACTACCACAATCTGCAAAGGTTTGTGTACCGTTTAGTGCAGTAACTTGTTCTGGAACACGAATATATCAGCATGCAACTTACGCGTGTGAAACAGAAAATGGGTGATATGGCTCGTTGATTATCTTTTTTTTTTTTTTTTTTTGTCATTTCAGGAGATACTTTAAGAAGAAATAACACAGGAAGTGGTGTATCCTTAGTTCTATTCCATTCTAAGAATCCAGTATTTTCATTTCAAGTGGCTTTGAAGACCAGTCCCGCGTCAATTAGTTTCAGACTTATGGAACGAAGACGGTCCATTTTTGTATATCAGTGCCCCTGTGCCTCATCTTCGGGCAAAGTTCCTTTCAGACCAGGTAAAATTACTACCCACTTCCAAATAATTGTTTATTTGCAAACCAAATCCTTTGTGGAATTCAAATTTAGTCAACTGCATAAAAAATCACAAAGATATATATTCATTTTATAAATAATTTATTTATAGCTCTATTCCAGCATTCATGAACAATGTACTTGACAGATGTTTCAGACAACCCTATTGGCCCAAATGACTTGAACGATATAACGGGCGATGCCATTGGCCAAAAGAAGTCCATGGAATTGTACACGTTTACGAGGTGTTTTAGATAATGAAAATATCAGATATGTGGAACAAATGTCACCATCTCCTGTCAGATGTAACAATATTTTTCATTCTCAAATTAAAGAGCAAACTGATAAGACAGCAGAAGGTTCCCGGGTTGACTTTCATCACATCTAAGTTCACACTCTCACCACTATAACAACTTGCTCAATTCAACATTCTACAGAAATACTGACTGTAAAAAAATATCTATCAGACAATAAAGAAACAGACTTCTTACTTCTATTAAAACCGTTATAAATCTGTCTGGTTTGTTGGCCTAAATTTGTCTACTAGATGCCCCTGTGTGGGTGTGTCCTGCACTGCTGTGTGCAACGAAAAACAAATTTTGGTTCTCTGTCCAAGATTTAGTCAACTTGTCAAACATTTTAAATCATGAAAACAGGTAACAAAATTTCATCGCTAATAATTAAAACTTTCCAACTTTGAAAAAAAAAAAATAAATAAACAAACAAATAAATAATAATAAATATAATAATAATAATTTAAAGCAATAGTAACAGTAAGGTAAATGGTTTAAGTTCTGGTCATGGAAACAAAACAACAAGAAATATGCAGATGCCTGAAATCCCTCCAATTGTAAAAAGAAACAAATGTCTGATTGTAAAACCGTGTGTATCTATTGATATCTAGTTAAAATTCACCTTGGGGTACCCTCATAATTAATATTAGATACACAAAAATAACTTAAACAACTAACAATCAACATAGTAATGTCTTTAACAGTTCTTCTAAGGGATGCAGGCATACTGCGAACTGCTCTCCCTTTGGTAATATATAGACCACCACTTTAAGACCATAATAAATTTAGGCAATTTTCTGCCACTGAATTGACAATAACCTTCCATGCTACATAGAAAATTTGTTGGAATATCTTACCAGTAAAATATATATCCCACCTTCCCTCTTATTGTTTTAAACACCTTACATTGGTAAACTAATAAATCAGTCTCATATACTGCTTCATCAAGTAATTGACAGTAAGATGTCGTGAAGGTCAAATAAACCAGACATTGCTACTTTGTTCCACTGCTTTATAACACGTAAATAATGTCTTATCTATTCTGGCTGAACACCAGTAACCAGGAAGTACACCTGTAAGGAGTTCGTTAGTTGGAGAAACAACCAGGACAGACAAAGCTATAGAGATCTTTTTCTGAGTTTTTCTTAGACCATGTGGTCATTTTTTTTCGTAATTTAAAAGAATGTTAGTCAGTCAAATAAAGGAGTCTATGTCTCCACTTGCTGCCTGTGCCACTTCAAAGGTGGAAGAGTGACAGTTTGGCCATCCTTGACTGTAGGTGGCGCTAGCCATCTTCTCAACACTAGATGGCATTATTCATCAAGAGGCTCTGGTCCATAACTGGGGCCCGCCCTTAAAGCAAACTTATCCTGCAACAGAAATCAGTTGTTCTTTTCTATGAGCACCTGGCAATATGAGTCCCCTGCCTCGCACCTCAGACATTTTATCTACTGTCTCCTCCCCCTTCTCTTTTTAAAATTATTTTTCCTTTTATTTTTTTTAAAATTTTTTTTGTGCCTACAAGCCTGGTGCAAAGTCATCGTCCACATCATCCTCATCGCTTTCGACATAAACATCAGGAACCTCCTGGTCCAAGTTTTTACGTTCCGACCTCTGCAAAACTGTAAACGTGCTTCCCGTTCTGAACCATGGGTGTCTTAGCACCTCGTCGGCTGTCAGTCGCTCCGAGGGGTCCTGTCTCAGCAGCGACCTTATCAGGCAGCGTGCCTTGGAGGATACTGTTTCAGGTACGTTATACTGTCCTCGTAAAATTTTGCGAAACAGAGCGCTGGGCTCCGTGTCGTGGAATGGGTAGCGTCCAAACAGCATGGTATACAAGATAACGCCTAGCGACCACATATCGGCGGCTTTCCCTGAGTATGGCGTGTTGGCACACAGTATTTCTGGGCTGACGTAGGCCGGGCAACCATGTTTATCTCGCATGGAGTCATCATGTTCATCCTCCAGGACAAAAGAGTCTTCCAGGCCCTCCAGCTTCAATTTTTTCCTGAAAAAATGACAAATGAAGTTACTCTGAAGTGCCAAATAAACGTGCCGGCACGTTTATTTTTTTTCCGGAAATTTTCCACCCGGCACGATCTCATTTTCCCCGGCACGATTAATAATTTTCCACACGGCACGGTTATTTGGCACTCATTGTGCCGGTTGGAAATATTGTTGATCGTTTCGGAAATGTGGATGATCGTTTCATTGGATTAGTTAATAATTATTAATGACCTGTCGCAAGCACTAGACTCGAACTTGTTATTAGCGTAAATAAAAGCCAGCTATTGTTTCTCCGGCATTTAAAGAGCGAGGCGCCTCGCTGAAATTTGTCAGAAGCACTGCCTCGCTGGGCTGAATGGAACAACAAAGTATGTATTTTCACTCATGCTAACTGATAATTATATTTATTTCTAAGCAAATATGACATGTTTACATACTGTACGTAATCCCATGCTTCTGAGCACTTGATTCAGTAGTAACGAAAACACGCATGCGCGTATACCATCTCCCGGATAGTGCCTCGTTTTCGCAGTTCTGTGCTTTATTTGAAGTATACGAGACAGAGCGAAACGAGGCAACTACTCTCGACAACATTTAGTCACGTGTCACAAATTCACTTTTTCTGTCACTTCGTCATGTTCCGAAATTAAGACCGCCTGTTGTGTGTTTTTTTATTTACGTTTATTCACTGATAAAAATGGAGAAAATTAAGTGCACTTTGTTGATTTTATAAACTTGGAGAAGATTTTCTATTGATTTACGGGTTAGTTTTGTGAAAGCAGCAGCGTTGTAAAACTGGGTCACGTTAGTATTTCGCGTGGAAACCCATGTATTGAATATGAATTTCCATGACTGAATAGAACCATATAAATGAACAAACGAAGAACTCAAATTGATGATAGCTGTGATTTAAAGTCAATTGACCAGTTACTTTCAGAAAGGTGAAAAATGGTAAGAACAACATATTTCATCAACTTTTTGGTCAATCCAAAAATAATTCAATGTTGTAAGCCCTTTTTCTTGATTCCTGCAAGTATTAAAGTACTTATTATTATTATCTTTTTTTAAATAGTATTTTCTTTAATTTTTGAAAGTTTAAATTAGCATTATACGAACTGCTGCTGCTGAACCTTAAACTTCATGATTGACTAAACTGAGTGAATGCATAGACTGGAAAATAAATTTTGTCTAAACCTTTGTTATGTCATTACTGAATTAATTCCTCAAAACATCTAAAACAAGACAATTCAGTGCCACATAAGATGTAAAAAAAATTACATAAATACCCTAAAATGCACCAAATTGCACCTCAATTAAGAAAAAATTTCCGAGGGAGCTTGGTGATAGAGATTACTCTAAATAGTTAAAATATGTTAAACTAGTATAAAATCAAAGGTAAATTTGTCTAGATATTGTGCTTTTTTATGTTTAATAGTCAAAACATAATTTTTCCAGATTGGAATATAACTTAAAATTGCCATTACAATTATTCATTGAAATTGTTAAAATTGATAAGATTTTCCGGAGGGCACATTTATTCCGCTAGGCACTGTTATTAAATATCGGGAATTTTTCCAGGGGGCACAGTTATTCCGCTAGGCACTGTTATTAATTTTGGAAAGTTTTCCGGGGGGCACTGTTATTCCGGTAGGCACTGTTATTCGGCACTTCAGAGTATTATATTGGGTTCCATCAAAACAAGGAAACAGTTGAAAACTACTCCAATCCAATGCCAACACGCATTGCCTTTAAAATTACAATTAAAATTGACAGCTCTGTTAAAACCTGGAATATCAGGACAATTATGATGGTAATGTGTTGCTTGATTTATTGATCTTTGTTGGTGAGAAGTTTTGTTCAAAATGCAAGCTGAAGTTTATGTATAATTGTGCTTGTTCACTTTTCCCTGCGAGTTCGATCCCCATCCCTCAGAAAACCTCAACTTCAAAGCACGCAGCATGACAACTCACTCCCAGCCAACGCACACCATGATTCAAACCTTCCTAGAAACTTCCAGGAATCCCACTCACAGAAACAAAACGGCAAAACGTGCCAGCATAAACAGCTTTGATCCATTAAAGAGAGGTGTGGTCTGACCCACCAATTGAGTAAACTCTAAATAAAGAACTTCCACGGTTATTTTTATCCAGATTGAAAACTCAGTGAGACGTGATCCCTGTTCACACCTTCTGGCAGACTTTGGCTCCAATGGATCAAGCTCTTCTTACAAATAGACCTTAACATGTTTTATCTAAATATAGGCATTTAGGATGGTTTTACGGGCATTTAGGTACAATTTACAACAAAGTTCAGGAGAAGACAGGAAGAGGGCCGTCTTCATTGCAGCAGAGGTCAAAATACATCATAGTCTTCAGTTTATATGACAATAACAAGTTTCACCTCCTTCAGAAGAGAGCAGCCAGATTTTATTCCAATCTCTATCTTTATAGCATAGGAATTTCTTACTATCTACAGGATTTCATTTTAGCACCTTCAGTAGTTAATATACACATTAAACAAGTTATACAATCATATACCACACACACACACACAGGGGTTCAGTGAAATAACCACATTTTACAAACTTGAAGAGAGTCTCTAATATTTCTGACATACGAGAGAGAGAGAGAGAGAGAGAGAGAGAGAGATCACTCTTTTCAAGACACACCCAATGAATCATGTTAAAACTAACATGACTGAAGGAGGATGTCCAGCAGCCATATCTGACAGCAGTCATCATCTGACCTATATTTTCACCGCACTCTCAGCAGCCTCATTTTGACTACTCTACACCTAGCCTGACTACGCACTCATGAATACCTTACGCAACCAGCTGAAATTTCCCCAATCATCACAGTGACCTAATTCCTGACCCTAGGTTTGACCCCAGAACCAGCTGATAACTCTATACTGTGTTAACAGCCCATACCAGCCCAACCCTGACTACTACTGTAGAACTCCTTCAGTACCCACACATCATGTACCCCTTAACAGTTTATTTTCCTTCCAACATTCAAAATTAAACACACGTTCCATCTACTAGAAATTAACACCACAAGATAAAAATAGAATTCTGAGAAAAATCTCTTTCTTAAGCGCCTGCCAGTGTGTCGCAGGGCCCACTTCTTCCTGTACGATACATGAAATCCATACATCTCGTATCTGATTAAGTGCACTCCCAGCATTAAAATAGAACAATGATATCATGTCACATAGGTGTTACCTGGTTGAATCTCCTGTTCTAGAACATAGGTAAAACAGGTGAAAGCTATTAAGCCCTAAGAATGAAGTAATTTTTCTTCAGTCGACAGCTCAATACAATACTGAAATAATTTTACCTTCAATATTTTGATGACTAACAGAACATCTTCATTGAGGAATGAGGCTATCCAGGTGAATAGCCTCGTCTTTAGACAGTTCCAGAACACAGGTAAAACAGGTGTAAACTATTTAGCCCAGTCTATAGACGGTAACACTTTCACTGAATGTTTCATGGACCATTAGCTGGTTGAACGCCATTCCCCGTCAAATGAGCTTCAGGGAGCCATTTCAATCCCCAGACTTTGCAGTACTAGCTTCACGGGTTTCACAGCTAGAAGATTCATCATATTCACCCTTTAGTGCTCTTTATAAGTTTTTTTTTTAAATCAATAAATTGAGTCAAGTATGCATTCTAAAACTATGTATAATAACAAATAAGTCAAAAGCATATTTGTACCAGAAATGAACATAACACACCATCCTATTCAGCTGTATTCTCCCACTCGTTCTTTAAACATTTATTGACAATAGCACTTATATTTGTACTTTAGCATCTCTGCAAAGCCTCTCCTATTTTTGCCTGCTTGCTAGTAACAGTCTGTTTCACAGCACATAAAATCACATCAAACTCAGCATCCTGGGGTGGCGCTAGCATTTTTTTTCCTTTTGCCAAAATGCTACTTTTTCATCACTTTTATGTCCAAATGGTTTAAATTTGACTAAAATAAGTCAAATCAACACTATTTTGTTTAGCCAATTTCAGCCTGTTTTAGCATTTGGCTAAATTGGCGAGTATTAGCGCTACCCCAGGCACCTGCATGTTTATGCACACACACAGCTCAAACGCACCCCTCCCCCCCCCCAACACACATACATACATACACAACTAGTCCCATTCATAGAAATACATAAAAAAAATTCACTATGAAATCTCCAGGGAGTTCGCTAGTCTCCAACATAAGCTGCATTATCATGCAATTTCCACTGGCCTGACGTCAGTCCATTGATCCACCATCAGCCAAGGCCAGATATCGCATGCTGCTGCTTTTGAACTGCGAAGATTCAGGGAATATTGTTGTAAACAGGAAACGGGAGCACAAGCCGCTGAGAGAGAGAGAGAACAGTAACCACCAATAACAACAACAAAGACGTCAAAATAGGACACTAATGAGAAACAATGAGCTGAAAGAGTCGCTGACAATCAATTTAGCTGCAAAGCATCACTATAACTTTGCTGATCCAATATATTATACCTCAATTTATAAGCAACTTCATTATTGAAACCCTGCAAGAATCTGCTGACGTCAGCCAGCTATGGAGAGCAGGACTACTGCAGTTTTCCTTTGTCTGCTCACAGACGCAGCTGACCACAGCAATGACCACAGCTGACCACAAGAAACAGCACAGGTTTCATCAAGAACGCTTTGCCAATACACTGTGATTAAATATCCAGAACCCACTTCCAACTTTTACAATGTGGAGGGTATCAAAATATTTACAATACACATTAAAGACAACTGGATCCATAAAATAATTGAGGTCTCTGTGACAATGTTTTACACAAAATTCATGAAAAACATGGCTGTCAATGGTCTTTCAAATATTGAGAGAGAGAGAGAGAGAGAGAGAGAGAGAGAGAAATGAACGCTCTCTAATAAAGGCTCATCTTTCACAGGTCCCTCTTCTTATTAGCATCAGTTGAGTAAATCCCTTATTTCCTGTCATAGTAAGGCTTCCAGT